TGCGCCTTTATAAAATGAAACGAACTCCAGTTAATCTAAACATCAAAGTATAACACGAAATGTAGACAACCTTTACCTGCTACAATCGATTTACGTTTAACGCATATGCTACAAAAGCGTTAAACTTAGGCCAGTTGTAGCAAGTATCGACGCTGGTATTTGGTTGAAGACATGGCATATTGAGCAAAAAGCGATGTATTTCATGGATGCTGATAACAGCAAAGCCCATCGCCAAGTCAGCCATGAATGTCGCGAAAGCAGCTCCTGAACGCTCAAGCAAATTAAATCATTTCCTCTCATAATCCGTTGCGAGCTTAGCTTTGCCTTTTCTACCGCTTTCACTCCTGTCACAATACTGGTTACCGGATCATTTCTCAGCAACAGTTTTTCTTTCAAGTTCTATTTCTTGACATCTGTCATCACAGAAATATCTTCTAGTGTTTCGTGAAGACTGAGTGAATGCAGTATGCTCCTATGCCTCACTACAATTGCAGTGAAATTTAGAAAACTGCAAAGCAAAACCACTGATTGATTCTAGGCCGAGGCCGCTGTCGTGCGCTGCTTCGGAATTCCATCATGAATTTTCATGAAGCTGCTCCTATTCATCCATATCACATTGTTTACACAAAATTCTACTCAATATATTTTGCATACCTAGCTCATCCTGAATTTATTTGATAACTGGAACAAAAAGATATGTGTGGCAATCTCTTTGGCTTGAGAATCTGCTAGCTGTCGGTCGCTCAGTCAGCCGTCGCTTCATCGGGCGGTGTAACTCTCTGGTTCTAAATTTTTTGTGTGGTTGTTACACGCTTTTCATTTTTTTGTGCCGGATATCTGCGGCGAGGTTCATGCCAAAATCATATGTGCGCCTCGTAAACTGAGCCTCATGGTGTATAATCAAATCATTTTGTAAGCAGTAGCTGTATTGGCAAAAGCAATCAGTCCAGCTGTTCAAAAAGGCGTGGCAATGATCCGCATAGGGTAGGCCGGCTGGGACTGCAGGATATGGGTGAAGAGTATCAAGCTTGACTGGATAGAGTGATGGAGAGAAAGAGGCGGTAGAGGTTGGAGATGAAGGAGCTACAGTATACCAAGAAGCGAAGGGTTAGCAAATCCAATAATGCTACATATAGTCCGCGCGCATGTGTATGTGTTTCCATGCTAGGTAGCCGTAGTGGGAGTATGTCCGCGAATCGTCGTCAGGGCCCAGTTAAGAAGGAAGGCGCAGAGCAGTAGAGGTAAATAAGGCTTGTAACACAATCAACTCATCCACTTATGTAGTAGTCCCATCCCTGTTCCTTCTACGTTCGCTTTTCCACGGTAATAGCCCGAAGGCCTGCTTTAACTCCCTCCCCTAGTCTACGACCTGCCTCCTCTTCCTGTGTGCACCTAAGGCCGGGCCTCCCAACAAACTCTTCCTGTCTGTTGCAGGCCAGGCTTTTAAACGTTCTGCGCATCAGTAGTGCCTTCGAGCACCCACAGCTCCCCGGACAACGAAAAGGCAGAAAACCAAGTTATCTCGGCCCTCACCTAACAGCCATCAGCCTTCATCACTCGCCGCCGTTGCTATCCCCAACAAAATTATATTTATCAAAATAATATAAATATCATCACCACCTCGAATTATCAAATTTCGCTTGATGTGGTAAAGTGGCGTGCACACCAGTAGTAGTAGAGGCAGCAACAGCAACAATAGCAATAACAGCAACAATAACGCAGTCGACAAACAAGTGACAACACATACAAATTAAATCTTCGGAGCGTCCACTAACCACGCTAACTAAGTAAGCATAATCCACTAAACCGAATACTTGCCCTCCTGCTCCTCCTCCTCCTCCTACGCCTTTTTTGAACGGTACGAGATGAGTAGCGAAGGATTAAGCAGCACAGCTACATTGAATGGTGGCAGCACTGTTGCGGCAGTCTCGGCAATCACTCAGGTAAGAAACAGTGAGCGCTGCTCCTTTCTCGATTCTTATTTTGACTCTTTTTTGATTGTCGTTTGAAAGATTGCTGTGCCAAAAACACGCTCGCGAGAAGCGGTCGATGCTTTCCTGCTCTCTTATTCCTTTACGATTGCGCCACTTCGAATTTGCGCTGCTGTTGTGCAGCAATGCAAGATAGAATTGACAAAAGTCGTCCTGAACGCTGTGTTATTTTGCCCTACTGAAAGCTGGCTTGGCGAAAGTGTTAAGAAGCATGGACAGACGTAGTGTGCGCATTGCATTTTTCACCAATACACCAAGTACACCGACAGCCGGCTGCGAACTGAACTGAGGTGCGTCTGTGAAACGTACTACTGTTGTGTATAGTTATGAAATCAGTAAACAATGCTGATAAAAAATTGCAGATTACTGAAAAATCGTTCAACGAGCGTCTCAGTCTAATGTTATAAGCATCGTTATTTTTTGTTAGTGAGAACAAGCTCTGAAGGTGCGTTGGCATCACCAGAAAGAGGAAAGAACCGCATGCGCTCTTGCTTGTGCGTCTCGCTTTGAGTCAGCAAACAATTTGTGTGAGAATTCAGCTAGTTCTTTCGTTAGTGATTAGATAATTTTGAAAAGGCTTACCTTAGCTGGATATTCTTTTTGGAAATCCGACTACTTCCTCTATAAATTGCGTATTTAAGCTGCTTAAAGTTTCTCATGTCCGACCGAGGTTGGCGTTGTTGAATTTTTGTACAGCACGATCGGGCATGCAAAAGGGTTTCTGAAAATAATGCATGGTCAGAAATTATACCGCAATACTAGATGTAAAATACAAGAAAAAGGAAACGGAAAAAAGATGGCTGTCAAGACAGATATGGCCTTGATTATCAAGTAAAAATGAGAAAATAGTTCAGTCAGAAGTCGAGTAACTCCAACTGGTTGGTTGAATAAATTTTTACTCGCCTTCTTTTTTTTATTCACGCAAATAAGTGCGCTACACACGGCAATTGGCAGTAGTTTACAATTTAGATAAGAAAACTTGCGGATTACAAAAAATAAGATCCCTTACCAGAAGACAAAAGAAGGTACAAATAAAGATAAATAATCTAGAAACAACTTTTTGTCGTGCATTTTAAAACCCAGCATTACGCTAAAG